GGGTGAGGGCAGGGGAAGCAGTGTTTGGGGTGGTGTCAGTGGAAAGGGGGACCGCTGCCCACCTAATCAATTTGGAAACAAAAATAGTATATGCCTTTTGAAAAACAACAGATGACCTGTGATGTGTGGTGTATTCACACACACATACGTATATATTTATTATACTGGGAGAGGGGAAGGGGGAGGGAGAGAAATTCCTTTCGAGTGCTATTCACCAGTCTGGAAAAATAAAGAAGGAAAGCAGAACATTTTTTCCTTTCATCAAAACAGGAAAGAGAGGGGGAATGGGGTGGGGAGCATATCCATAGACATAATGGATGGTTGCCAGTGTAAGGAAATTGTTCCCTTCTACCCTAAACTTGGGGGTTGGGGAGGGGGAGAAATAGATGGTGATATGATCAGTGAAGGCTGCATGCCCTCCTCCCCACTTGATGTAGGAACGTGTATGCACATAGGAAAGTGCTGAGAAATCAGTGCCCCCAGCTTTGCCTTCTCTCTTTGAATCCTGCTCGAGCTGCACATCCGCAGAGATGTGAAATGCCTTTGCCTTCTCCTTCACCTCAAAGCATGGGGCAGCAAGGCATGGCCGGCACAACCCCTCTCCCTCTCTGCCTTTGTCAGGGACTGTGCTCTGCCCTCTGCATGCGTCTGTGCGCTCGTCCCCTTCCCCGTCCTCTCCTCTCCTCTCTGCCAGGTTTCTGCCAGGAATGGGTGAGATGAAGGAGGTGGTGAGGGGCTGGGGGAATCCCTTTGATGGGGAGAAACAGGCAGAGGGGGTGGTTCCCAGAGGAAGCCTGGCAGGTCCCATCGAAATCCTGCTCCCCAGGTGACACCTTCCCTTTCCCCTGGAGCCAGTGGCTCTGTCAGGGTTTTACTCATCCTTGGAAAGCATTTTCCCTGCCAGAGGTGGGAAGGCAAATTATGCAAGCCCTGGGTACCCTGAGGCTCTGCCTTTCTCCAGCACAAAATACAAACACCAGGGTCCCTGCCTGTCTCTGTCTCCTTCCTTTGGTCTCTCTTCTCCTTTCCTCCTTCTTCCTTCATTAGACTGAACTCAGTCATTAGGAAGTCAGGGCAGCTCCCATGTCAGCAGCCTCTGGGGCAAACGGTGTAAGCCACAGCCTAAAGGTACGTATGGTGGCTCTGTTCTGATCACTTGGCTCGGGACAAACCTGGCACAACAGGGCGATGTGGTGTAAAACTGACACGCCTACAGAACAGGTCTCCTGGTGAAAACTAGGCGTAAAACTTACTCTAGGTGCTTCATTTCAGTGTCAGGGCTGCTCTGCTCCCCTCCATTGAGGACTGCGGCAGCCCCATGGTGTAGGCGTAGGGATTGCTCATCGCTCTCCTGAACTCAGAGACCGGAGCAGGAGCAACACCTAAGTTAGATACCTTGAGTGGGCGGGCTGACTACACGTCGGCTTTCAACACCTACTAATTTATTTCCATTGATTGTTTTTCAAAATAGGACTCATCATGGAGAGGCTGAGACATCTCAGCTGTTCAGATTGAGTCTTGCTTTCCATTGTAAGCCCTGTTTTTCTTCCTGTTGTTTCACAACTCTCTCCCTTCTCTAAAAAGAAATGCAATAAATAAACTAAAAAAAAAAAAAAAGATATCACCCCTCACATCGTGCCTCTGTGGATGGTGGCTAGTAGATAATTTTTTCCACAAGATGAGGGGAGAGCAGCCTTGCAGCAAGGAACTGCCTATTGTCCTCGGACAAGTGTTGCTCTCCTCCCTAGTGATAAGAAAATAACCGAGGAGATGAGTTCAGCTGTTCACAGGTTTGAGAGCTCTAGTGATGTAGAAAGTGTTTTAATAAGAAACCCTGCTACAGGCTCTTAGGAAATCTGGTTTTGTTGTGGTTTGTCTGTGGGGCCATTGCCAGCTAGCACAGCTGTGACTAGACCTTGTCAAGTTGTGATGCTCTAATGGGACATTTTTGTGGTCCAGCTACTTCAGGTAGCCTGGAAACATCTTCCTAATATATGCAGTGTTGGTTTCAAAATGTTGTCCTGTGACATCTGGGACATCAACAGCCCCGCAGGCCTCCACACCCCTCCCACAGGCCAGGTGAGGGGAAGATTCAGTCATCCCCATTAGTTTTAGGGGTTTGTGGGACTAATGTCAAGCTAATTTCACAGGAGTAAGAGAATCAAAGGAGCACCCGCCTGGCTTAAGGTACAGCAGTTTTAAGGACATGCATCCCTATTGAATGCTATGCCAGTGAGACTGGCCCAAACCTTTAGTGAGTCTCAAGACCTCACTAGGGAAAAATCTGTCGCTGTCTTAAAAACAGAAAGAGTAAGAAAAAGCGACTGAAGCCTGAGTGGCTTGAATATCACTTTGCTCTATTTCCAGGCAGGGTCATAGGTAGATGATTAGTCAAATTCCAAACATCCTCTTCCTTGCTGTCTGGAGGTTCAGCAGGGATTAGCTTTTTGTTTCTCATGTCGAGCTTCTAAAAACTGCCCAGCATCATCCACATGAAAATAAATAACTCTATTTCTATCCCAGCTAAGATGTAATGTAGCCAGTTATTTTAAAAAAACAATATCCCCCCCAAAATCAGGCCCTGCAGCAGCTCTTGTTGCTACTGAGCAAGACATAAGCAGCAGTCCCTGCTAGCTTTCTGCTGAGTCCTTTCTTCTCTCCGGCAGCAATATCTCTCCCTGCTGAGGAGTTTGATCAGCCCTCCCACACACAGGCTGTTCTGTCCTGGCCAGGCAGCCACTACAGCTTGGGGGACCCCCTACACAGCTTGAATCAGGTGGCGTGAAGGTGGTGGAGCCACACTAAATTATTTGAGGGCAGAAATCCTTAAAATGCACCTTAGCTTCCATTGACCCCTTATGAACCTTAAACACATAATAGGGTCATGGACATTTGGGACCTAGCTGCCCCCAGCTCCTTCTACTCAGATAGAAGGGCTTCCAGAAGCTGGTTTGGCCATCTCAAATCCTCAGCTTTCCCCTGCTGAACACCAAGGAGCCCAGGGCTACAGAGTTTCTTTGGCCAGAGCCATCTGGAGTGAGGTGAGATGGACCCAGACCCTTTTAAAACCTTTTTTGAAGCCTCCTACAGATTTCAGAAGGAGTTTCAGCACTCAGGTAGACATTAGGGTAGCAACTCCACCCTGCCTGGGGGGTTAGAGAAAATTATCATCACTTGAAATGGCTGGTACTGCTGGCGGGACAGGATGGAGAATGAGGGGAATTCTAAGAGCGTCCTGAGGAATTTGGGGTGGGACAAGGCTAACGTGGCTGGAGCATCTAAGATAAAGACTTGTTAAGGTCTCCAGCGGTAGAAATGAACAAAGGTATGCCTTGCATTTCCACTTCCTCCCCCTTGAGCTCCAGAATTGAGACCAAGCCACTTTAGACTGGGTTTGAGGGACTCCCAGAACACTCCTTATCTCTGCACTCACGCACCTCAGACGGCCCGAGTGTCAGAGCTCGCATGGCTCTGACCAACTCCCCACCTGTAGGGAAATCTGCCCCCTGTTCTTCTGGGTTAGGGTGAAGGGCGGTGATCCCTCGTGACTCAAGAGCACCTTGACACACTGCCCCACTGTAGGACCTTCCATTTTGTGTCTACATGACCTGTCTCTGTGACGGGAGGAGCAGAGGACTAGGCTATTTTAAGAAAGCTAAGAGGGGCCCCCAGTCCTCCTTGTGTCCCTGTGCTTCCTGACCAACACCCACATCCATGAGACCAAAGTGAAGTTCGGGGGTGTAGTAGCCAACCTGGGAGGTGTTGTCAGATGGCCCACTACAGAGGAGCATTTGGTGGGCTGCCTGCTGCTCAGTTCTAGTAGTTGCTCCTCATACCTGGGCACTTGGGATGGTGCATATGCGAGGGCTGGTGTGAGACCATGTGTTTTAGAGAGGGTTTGGCTGCATGAGACTCACAGGCACCTAGACAGTCTAAGGGAGCATGTGTGATACTGCAAGATGAGGCCACTGGTATGCCAGTGGGTGTATGTATGTGAGAAAGGAAGAGAGAGGGGTAGAGTGAAGCAGAACACATGGATGCCCAGGGATGTGTGAATGAGACAAAATTTGCACGTAGCTGTGCATGTGAGTGGCTTGAATAAGAGCGTGTGCGTAGCATAGAAAAAGCAGGGAAGGTGCTTGGGATTCAGAGTGAATGCCTGCCGAGTGCCTGCGGTGCATGACAGTGCAGGAATGTATCGGTGGATACGAGCCTGCACAAAGATGGTGCAGAAACCCCTCCTGGTCGTGCCTGGAGTGTGCTTTGCGAGTGTGCAACCCCACGCCGGGAGATCACTCGTATGCACATGAGAGGGCATGCGTATGGGTGTTTTTTCAATAGGATATGACTCTTTCTTGAACTCACCTGTTAGCAGCCTTCCCCTCCCCATCCCTCTCCCCCCACAGCAAATAGCTGCTTGCTTAATTTCCCTTCAGATGTTTATTACATCGTGGAGATAATCATGCAGCAAAATACCTCCGGGTGCCACAAGCAACACCAGACTGTCTTATTGGAACGAGTAAATTTCTCTGGCTTCTTTTTTTTCCCCTTCACACAAAGAGATGGAAGATATTAAAGCCGCCTCTCTCCCTGGAGCTAGTGCTGTAGCAGGGCAAGGAAGGCGGTGAGGGGAGCTTAGAGAAATGGGCTCCAGACTGAAACAGTGAGAACCTGGGGCCAAAAAAAATAACAAACTACCATGCCGGGAACTCCTCTCTTCTTATCTCTTGCCGAGGAGGCAGGAATTTCTGTCCCCATTCCTCACGCAATATTAAAGCCACATTATACAGGTTACTGCAGCATTAGTAATTTTTAATTAATTTATCATTTAAATTAACACACTTTTTATTTTGTCAGCAATGGACTGCTACTCCCTCACTAGATTTTTCACTTGATACCCAGCCAAGAGGAGGGTGGCAAGTTATGCTCCACCCATCTCCTCTCCTTCATAAAAGGAGCAGCCCCGAGTGCCAGTTTAGTCTCTCTTGCAGCTCGCAGACTAAAATAAAGCCCCATCGGCTCACTTACCTCTCCTGCAATTTTACCTTTTCTGCATTTTTTTGGTTTTCCTTTTTTGTTGCAACAGAGTGCGGGAGGCAGCATCAGCAGCTCTGCTCTGAGGCTTGTCAAGGCTCAGTGCACGCACACACACACACACACACACACATGCACGCACGCAACCCAGAGTGAAAACATTTGCTCTCACCTGTCTCCAAACCCAAAGCAAACCTCCTGTCTAAGCAAACTGCCAACACTTGGAACGAGAAGGCAGCCGAGCCAGAATCTAATGTAAGGCGAAAAAATTCAATGTACACTAGCAACTTTTTGCTAAAAAGCAAGAGGGGAAAAGGAAGGAAAGGAGCATTTTAAGAAAAGGACACCTTAAGGAAGATTTCATTTTTTGGATTTCACACTAAACTTTGGAAAAGTTTTTTTTCTTTTTCTTTTTTTTTTTTTAGTTATTATTCTGTTATTACCATCTTTTTCTAAGAACACTGAGACATTGTTACCTGCATATAAAAGCTTTTACATTTTTTTTTTTTTTAAAAAAAGGAAGAAAACCAAGAGGAAGAATAGCATGTGGACCACCTAACCAAAGGCACCACTGAAGCATCCCTTGCGGCGAGGGGGACGTAGACTCTGGATGTGTATAATTCCAAGGGACTGCATTTTTTTCCTACCGGGCTTATGAGATAGCGCAGAGGCAGGCAAGTCACCGAGAATTACTTCTGTCTCCCCTCACCACCACCACTACCACCACCTCCACGTCCTCTTCCAAGGGCTCCTGCGATTCTCCCACCGCAGTCCGGCTTGGAAGGACATGGGAACGCGCGGCGCCCTCGATGCCTGAGGCCGGGCGGCCGCGGGGCTGTCTGCGGGAAGCGCTTCCCTGCTGGGGCTCGCCGTCCATGTGCCCGCAGCCGGCGGGGCCTGGAGTCGGGATGAATTTCGGCGTGGTCTTCGCGTTCATCCTCTCCCTGCCCCTGGCCCGCATGGAGGTGAGTTTCCGCCGCTGGCAGCGGGCGGTGCTGCCGAGCTGCCAGCCCCGGGATGCGGGGAGAGCCGGCGGCGGCGGCCGCTCCCGCCCCGCAGGTGCGGCGGGTGAAGCCCAGGGGCGGCCGGGCGGGAGCGGAGGGGGCGAGGGGCCCGGGCAGGCGGGCGATTCCCGGCCCCTCTCCGAGGGAGGGACTGCGGCGGGTGCGCCAATGGCGGGCAGCGACCGCTGGAGCGGGCACCCTTCTGGAGCGGGCGCTCCCCTCGGGACGGGGCTGCCGGAGGCACTTCGCCTGGGAATACATTCGCCCCCGTGTCTGCAGGGACGGAGGGCATACCAGGCTGAAGCGGCCCCTGGTTAATGTGGGAGAAAGGGTGCTGCTGGGGAGCCGCGGGGACCCCGCAGCTTCCTGCCCTGCCTCGCCCGGGGCTGTCACCCCGGGGCAGGTGACGGCTCCATCGAGCCTCTCACCCCGTCCAGCGATTTTGGCATCGCTGCAGCGTGCGTGTGGCAGGGACTGAGGCCCAGTTGGCACCCCTGGAATAACACACAGTGTGAAACCCACCCTGGCATTGCCAAGGGGCTGGTGGAGAAAGGGCGTGGGGGTTTGGAAGGGGCAAGGAAGGGGCCAGCGTGGGTAGAGGCACCAATACGGAGTGGCACGGTTGTACAGCAAGGCGTGCCTACAGCTAGGGTGATGGGAAGAGGCAGGAGGTGAGTATCTGCTGTGCTTCCACAGTCACACAAGGATCTTGTCCTGCAATCCTGAATGCTCTGCTCAGGAGGAAGCTGGACAGAGGGTGGGGGCCAGGTGGTGGATTTGAATGAACATCCCAGCCCTCTTCAGTTTCCCTGAAGCCTCATCCCAAGCCATGGCCGAGGAAAAGGAGCCCCAAGCCCCCAAATCCTTAGCCTCTGTTGCCATGTTTCATCATCTGATGGTGTGCAGATTGAGGGGACCAGAAAGCCCCTAACATTCCCACACAGCGCTAGGTTCCCACTTCAGCTCATGGCAAAACTGTGGGTTGGATCTACAACTTGTCAGGGGTAGGACACATCCTTCCACCACAACTTTCCTCCCTTTGCATAATTTCTCTCTTTTTCTTCCTCATTTTTGAGCAGGGGAGTGGGTGCACCCCTTGTGGGGCGTCAAGGAAGAGGTTGGGTGCAAAGCATCACGTCACCTCCCTATGGGCCCATTTTGCCCTTGCCCAAGCCACAAAAGGAAGCAGTTAAAGCTGTGGGCTGCCCAGTGGTTATGTTTGTTTTGGGCAGAGGATGGTATTTCCTCTGTGGATGGCTCAGATCTCTTCCTACCATGCAGCGTGAAACATCAGCTATGGTTGGTGCTGGGGAAGGGTGAAGGTGGAAGTGTCTGATCCCAGGGAGCTGTTATTCAGTGCTATAATCACACTGAAATACTGCACAGCTCTATGATAGCCTAGTAGGGTTAAAGTTTGGGAATTCTGGCCCTAGGTTTCATAGGAGGAATTGTGATATTTGTCATTGTATGACCAGAGAACCAAGAACATTTCTGCTTGAGTAGATGCTTCTGCCTGCAGCCAGTCCCCACATCTACTTTAAGGGCAGAGTGTTGCACCCTCTGCACCAAGCACACACAGCAGAGCTCCTACCAGACTGCTGAACCATAATTGTCCTCTGAACGGAGCTTGCACTTCTTCCCAGCCCTGTCAGAGAAAGTGCATGAGAAGCAGTAGCTCCTCAGATCAGTAGAGGCCTGAAGGAGGAGACGGAGCCTCCTGAGTCCCTCTCCCTCTTCCCTCTGCGATCACACCCACCTGGAGCTGGAGCGCCCTGGAGCTCTTCCAGCCAGAGGGAGTACAAGCCTCAGCGGGAAGGTATTTGCCAGTTGGGAAGCGAGGATGCTAAGCCTATTTGCATTTGCCCTGCGGGCTATAACAGTTGCCTTGCAACATTTACAGAGATGGGCTGAGCCCATCTTGGTTGTGCTGGGGTGAAGCCCCACTGGCAGGCTTTCTGGAATTCCCAAGGAATGAGGTGCGGCTGGGCGCTTGCTTATAACCTCGGCCCAGGTCCCCACTGCATCTTCCTGCTGCCAGGCTCCAGCGTTCTTCCATAGTCTTCCTAGCATGAGGCAGTGACAAGGACAAAGCAGTGGAAGCTGGGATGGATGACATGTCTGGGGTGAGCTCGTGGAAGGAGCCAGGCGAGTCGTCCCTGCCTCCCTCTCACCATCAGCTGATGTGAAGCAGCAGGAGAGAATGACAGGGTTCCTGAGCTGTTTGCAGTGCTGCTGGTACACGACCAGCCCTGGGGGTGGAAATGCCTCCAGCCCTTGCAGGGGAGGTGTGGGGGGAGCGTGGAGGAGCAGTGGAGTCCCCCTTGAAATGGGAAAAGGGTGGGTAGGTCTGGCTGTATTTTAGGAACGTGGGTTAGATCAAACATTGTTTGATTATTTTAAGGAGGGAAAACATAACCCTCCATCCCACGTGGAAGGGGCTGATGTGATGAGGGTTGTGCCTGCTGTGGGGTCCTCTGGCAGGCGGATGTTGGAGTCCCCCTGTAGCCTAGAATGGTGCTGGAAGGGTGGAAGACCTGTGCCAGGGGAGGGCTGGTGGCAGGTGCTGCTGGTCTTGCTCTCTGCCAGGGAATGCGGTAGAGTCTCCCCTCAGGGTCCTCAAGTCAGCTTCAGAGGGAATTAAAAAATGCTGTTTGTTTGGGGTTTTTTGCCTAGCTGATCATTCGAGACTCTGCTGCCAAGACTCCTTGCCATGGTCAGTGTGGAGGTGCTCAGAAAGTTCTCCTCTCCTGGGCAGAGGAGTGGATAGCTGGGTGCTTCCCTGCTATTCCCAAACTGGTACTGCTGCTACCCTTCTGTCCTTCTGTGTGCGGTCACACGTGGGTATGTGTACACACACTAGCACAGAAAAGGGAACTGGAGGAGTCCTCACCTTGGGAGTATCCTTGCCTTGTTTCTTTGAGCCCTGAGGGTCTGCCTTCCCTGCTGGTTGCACAATCTTTGCTCCCTCCTCCTCTGTACCTGCTGTGCTACCAAGAGACTCACTTTCAGGCAAGACTCTGAAACCCTTGCCCAAGGGAGGACTGGAACACAGTCTTGCATATTTCCTGCACCACCTTGGCAGCAGGTGATGGCAAGGGGACCTTTCAAACATCCCTGGTTCTCAAAAGCGTATGTTGGCAGAAAACTCCGGAGGCAAGAGGTGGTGGGGTTAGGGAGGAGGCAGGTTTTGAGGGAGTGCATGTGTGGGGAGAAGGGACAGAGGAATGTCTTGTTTGCAGGGCGTTGCTGCATCTGTCTCAGTTTGTAGTGGCCAAACAGCACTGCTGGATGTCTGGGAGGAGGGAGGCAAAGCTGATGTGCCAAGAGACCCCGGCGTCACAGCCACAGCACAGGGCAGCTGCAGGGCAGGCAGAGCCTCTGCCCAGGTGCTCTACTGGCTTCTGTCAGGTGTGCTGTGGTGCTTGCCCTTCAAGCACCAGCACCCAGCTCAAGAAGGGGAGTGGACGTCCCTGCCAAGGGATTGGCAGATTGGGGGGTGCCCCTGCAGCTCAGGGAAGAGTCAGGAACTGGGGGCAGAGGGAGGGAGGGAAGAACAAACTTACTTTCTTCTAAGAGTTCAGGGCCTCGCAGGAATACGAGGCCAGGCCTTGGGGCACTTGACAGCCAGCCAAGAGTCCATTGAGACAAAAGTCTTCTTTGATCTGCCGCACAGTTAAAAAGGGAGACTGTTAACCTGTGTTAGACAAATAACTCCAGAGGAGCTGCTAAGCAGGGAAAGCACCAGCTGCTTGGGCTAGTCTGTTGGGGATCCCACCTCTTGCTATGCTCCTCCACCTTCTGACCCCATGGGATCAGGTGGACATGGCTGATGGACTTCTGCTTCCCTGTGTCCCATCCCCACAAGTGCCCCAAGCCTGGGTGTGTGTGGTGCCTTGATCTCAGAGCCTCTCAGGCACAGAGCTGGGAGCCAGAGGCATGGCTGTTCCCAGTGACAGACTCCAAAGGGAGCAAGGACAAGGCATGGCAGCTCAGGTTGTGTAGCTGTTCTTAGGCCAGATTTGGACTTGGTTTTGCACTACAGGGATAAAGGAAGGAGCTTCACAGGCTTGCAGTTGTCACTAGCAGAGTTGTCTTACAAAAATGGGGGAGGAGGACAGGATTATGAGCCATGTGGGCTGGTGTTACACTATAGCCATGCTGGTAGTATCTGCATCAAGAAAAAATTGGCATCTAAAACTGCTGCTGTGAGCAAGGAGTGGAGCTTATTCCTACAGGCAGTCCCCAGAAATCCTGAGGGCCTGCATTTGCAATCCCTGATTCATATCTGTTTCCCCTGCTCAGATAGCAAGGTGACACCTCCCAGCTCACTTCCAAAGTCCCCGGGTCTCGTAACACCTGCCCACACTCTCCCCCAGTGAGTGCTAGAGTTTAAAATAAAGTTCCATTTCCTACACATATTAAATGTCAGGAAGGACCAGGGGCATCTGTGCAGAGTGGCATTCGTACACAAATGCATTTAGCTGACAGGTGCAAACATTAAAAGCCTGCAATTTCACTACCCAGCGCTGAGCTCTGACTGCAAGTACTGGGAATTGCAAATGATCCCTTTTCCAGTAAATGTGTGTGGCACAAGGCAGGGAAGTGCTGCAGAACCTCTCCGGCACTGGGCTGTTGGTCCCCCTCTCCCTCACGCAGCAGGAGTTGTCAGAAGGCATCTTCATTTCACAGCTATTCAGTGATCCCTGAATTATACAAGTCTCTCTCTTGCTGTGCATTCATCACTGATGCTGCTTCCCTCTCCCTCAGAGACTGAAGAAGTAATGCCTGGGGATGTAAAATCTGCTTTTTGCTGCAGGCAGACAGCCAGATCTGTGGTGAGATGTGACAGTGACAGGGATGGACCGGGGCAGGGAGGCTCGATCTGACTCAAGCTCTCTGGGGGATCTGGCTGTGGAGGTTTAGGACACTAGTGTTGTCTGCTCTGCAGCTTTCCCACGAGGTTTGTGCCCCATGACTTGGGCTGCAGCAGCCTTCACGCCACTGTGTCCTAGTTTAAGCTATAGTATTAGAGGGTCGTCTGGCAGGGCTGAGGAGGGACCACTCCTGTTGCCCTGCTATACAAGTGAACAGTGGGTGTCCAAGGGACAGGCACATGTGAGAGAGTGCCAGGCTCAGTCAGCCATGCAAAAGTCCTCAAGCTTTAAAGCCAACGTTTAGCCACCTGCCTGGTGGTTTTCCTCAACTCTGATCAGAAAGGAAGTGTTCTGCACTGAACACAGGCAGGGAGAGAATAGCTGCACACTAGAGGACCACACACATGCCACCATAAAAACCCACAAGAAAATCTCTGTGTTTCACAAGCACACGAGCCAAGTTCTCCTCAGTTACAGGGACATGTGTAGGGCTGTGGCTCAGACACCATCCAGCACCCAGCTGAAAGAGCAGCTTTTCCACTTGAGTAGCTCTGAATGAAGAGAGCTGGGAGCAAAGCAAACACTTTGGCCAGTACTTTCCTCCATCTCTTTTTCTAGTCTTTCGGAAGTATGTTTTAATCAGCGCTTGCTTTCCCACACCACTCCTTTGTAGTCTTATTAAGTGCTGTCACTGGGGCCCACTCAGTAAAATTCCCAAGATGCTGATGGCATTGCACCTGCCTGCAAAAACTCTGAATTTGGCCCATTGTCTGATGTTGCTAAACCTGCTAATTTAGGGTTTTTTGGTGCTGGTATGCAGGGACATCCAAACTCCCATATGTTTTTTGCTCCAAATCAGCTCCTCAGCCCACCACCTGCAATCTTTGTGGTTTCACTGCGAGCTCATACCAGAGCAGCCTCAGCTGTGAAGGTCAATCTTCCTCTCCACCCCTCACCTTTTTTTTCTTTAAAAAAGAGTATGCAAATGATGTATATTATTGGGCCTCTGTGGTTTGAAAACACGCGCACGCACACGCACATACACACGATAACTGACAAAGCCCGTGAGGGAGTTTCATAACAGAGGGAAATATTGGGAAGGTTTTATCTGATAGCGTAAGGGAAGTCTGTTAAAACGCCTTTACTGCAGGCAGCAGGAATGAGAAGCCACCTGGAGAACTCATATAGCACCGGAGAAGGAAGCCTTGTTGGCTGCTTGCATAGTGTTAAGGGCTCTGGTGCACAGCCTGGGTATTTTTTGGCTTTTTCAGTCTCCAGACAGCTTTGTGAGAGGCAGCAAGAGAGGCTCTCTTGCTTTTGCTTAGGTTTCAGGCTTGTGCCTTCATGAGGCATAAAGTCCTCAAGGTTTAAAAGCCATCGCAAGATAATGCATGTCTTTGCATTTTACTGGTTCTGTTATGTCTCCTCCGTGCTTGATTCTCCCCATCCCACTCCATGACACAGTCGGTATTTGCAGATCACCTCTCTAATGCTTGTTTCTCCCTCTCTTTTCTTTTTTTTTCATCTGGCAGGGGGACCCCATACCCGAAGACATTTATGAGATTTTGGGTGGCAGCTCAGTGCGCTCCATCAGTGACCTCCAGCGTGCCCTGCGGATAGACTCCGTAGGTAAATCTCTTCACCAAACACTCCTCTATTTTTTCTTAAGTCTTTGGGGGGTTGAGCAGGGATATTCCATTTTCCAGCAGGTACACTATCAACAGACCTCACTGTAAATATAGGAACCATTTAGGAGCCAAGACCTGGCTATTTACGCTCCTAGTCCCCTTGAAACTTGTGGGAGTTAAAGGCAACTAGATGCCTTTCTAGATCTCCTGCTAACTGGTCTAACAAGGGTCACTGGCTTACAAAAATAATAGGAGATGGGCAAGGTGAGTCCAAGAAACTGAGGTCAGCACTTTTCACCCAGGCAGGAGGGCTTAAACTGAACAAGGATCAGTGTAGGAGGTGGCAAAATGGGAGGTGGGAATAGGGTGACAGAGGAGGGAAGGGCTGAGTGGGTTTTCAGGTTTAGCATCCACAAAAGGCCATGGGCTCCCAGAGGCTCTTAGAATAAGGGCTGCAGAGCACATGTCCAGGGTTGAGATACGGGACAGGGGCTAAGTCAGGGTACCATCGCTTCACCTTCTGCCCTTAGATAAGAGCTCCAGGGTCTGCAGTGCCTTGGGGTCACTTGGCCAGGGCTGAGTGCAGTGAGCAGCAGGAGCAGCGAAGTGTGGAGGGGTTGGCACGTGTGGGAACTGGAGCACGCGCCACGGCGGCTGGGCTGGCCCAGGAATTTATTTATAAACGGTCTCTTCAGAGCAAATTCCTTTCTATTCTAACCCTGCTCCCGCCCGTCGTCCCCCAGCCCCCCCAGCTCGCCTTCTCTCTCGTGTTTTGTCTGTTTGGAGCTTTGTAATCCTTGCCGAGACACTATCTACGGGGGAACAGAATTTCCTGCTTTTGTTTCCTATGCCAGTCCAACCACTGGCGCAGTCTCAAAAGCATTCCCGCTGCCTTTCAAAACGGCCCTGGAGGGGCAGGGGGGAAAGCGAGGGGGAGGGCACCAGCTGTGTTCAGCTATTGTTTGTCTTAGAAAGAGGCGACGAGGCTCCCCACCACTGCCAGGGCCACTCCCTGCCCTCACCAGTTCCCTCCTCCTTGTCCACAAGCCACACAATGGGGCAACTTCCAAAATTAGCTGTGCTGGATTGTCCCAGGCTGGTCCCCCCCACCCCAACTGTCTTCAGTGCTGACCTGGGGTGTAGAAGGACAACCTGGAGGAGGGAGGGACATGGTTTTCAATAGGAGATTCCTTTCCAGTCAACAGTTGTTGCTATTTTCCCCCTCCATTTCTGTCCTCTCATCAACTCAACCTGTGGTCAAAGGGCAGCCCACCCCCCCCCCATTTGATAAAGTGCAAGGTGGCACAGGATGGACAAGTGGGGAAGGAGTGGCTGAGAAGATGTGTGCAGTCTGTCATGTCCTGATGTCTAAGGAACAGATACATCTCTATCACAGTTACTAACCACCCTCATGGCTAAGAAATAACATGGGCTTCTCTCGTTGTCTTGAGACGCCCAGAGGTATGGGATAAGTCTGTGGAGCTTTGAGTCACTGGTTTCACTTCAGGTCTCAGATGGGAAAGGCTGGTGAGGGAAACAGAAAGTGGTGCTGTGAAGCAGTTTCTTTGTTGCACCCCGTGGCTCTCATCTGCTCCTAAACACTGACCGAGGGGCATTGACATTTGCTTGCCCTGTGTGGAATTTGAGTATTTGCTAATTAGTATGTTAGGAAAATAATACCAAAGTGTCTGGAGTTATTCCCCGTGCTGTCCGTGCACCCTGTATGTGTCACAGCTGCTTCTCTCTACCAGCTGCACAAGGAGCCAGAATGAGGCAGCTCCAGGAGGCAGATGAGCTGAGATAGTGCTCTCCTGACCTGCAGACCCAACAACAGTGGTGTGTAGAGTGGGAGTCATCTCCTTTAACTGTGGCTGCCTGCAAAGCAGGTGTGTCATCTAAGCCAGTCACCCAGGCATTTTCTCCAGCCCCAAAAGAACTACAGGCCCTTCTTCAGCATGATCCACCAGTTCTCCTTTTGGGCATCTGCCTCAGGGAGAGATAAATGTCACCTAGAATTGATCACACCTCTCTAGCTGCTTTAAAGGATGTCTGTCTGTCTCGCCACCTCTTATGTAGATGTTGACTGCTCAGGCATATACGATTCCTGCCTCTGTGCACCTATCCCAAATCCTTCAGCAGCTGCTTCAGAGTTGAGCAGATAGCAAAGTCTTTGCTCCCCCTTAAAAGAGGGCTGCACTAGGGTAGAGCTGAGGAAGAGGAATGGGACATGATGGGTAAGGGAAGTCTGCTCCATCATGCATCTGATAAACAGAGATCTTCCACTGGCCCCAAATTCCCTTTAAGAAAATTGCTCCCTTGATGCTGACGTCCATTCAGTTTCCTTCAGCTGCTAAAGCAGGTCAGAGAAGGAAAGAGCTGTGGCTGGGTGGGAGCTATCTTCGAGTGCAGCCATTGTCCAGAGCTCAGGAGGGGCTGTGTGTTGGAGTGCTCCATGGGGATTATGGGCATTTCTCTATTCAGCACTTCCTATGGGAAAAGGCAGTGGGGTGGGAGGGAACCGCACAGGGCTGGCCTGAATACTATCAGTTTTCCTCTCCCATCGCTGACTGAACCACCTCCAGATCCTGCCACTTACCTAAGAGTAGTATAGAGGAAAAGTAATTTTAACTCTGTTTTTTTGTTATTCTGTCATAAAACTAGAGCAGCTGAGGTGTGGTGGGAGGGAGAATGCAAGCACACCACCTCCCACACATTACCTCCTTCACCTGCCCTCTCACCTCCCAGCTCTCCCAGTCCCAAGTCACCCCAGCAAAGCACCTCAGTGTTATATACCAAATGTTCTGCTGGTCTTCTTTGGTCTTTGATCCTCCTTGCTGTATCTTGGTCTCAGCTGGCCATCTGAATCCCTCTGCTACTCCTCTCTGATACCAAAAAGCCCTGGCATGGGCCTTATCATTCTTGAGATGGAGTTTTCCTCCCCCTGACCTGAGTGGGACCCCTCTTTCATGGTAGGCTTGTTGCTTTGAGCTGCCCAGTCTGAGCCAAGGGCAAACCTAGAGTGTGCTCCAGCACAGCTGTGACCTTGCTGGTGGGTTTACACCTACTATGACATTCTGGGACTGTGGCTTATGCCATGTCCCTGCACTTTGCCTAGCGATCTTAGCACAAGTGCCTGCTGTCTTCTCCTGCCTGTACCTGGTGCTATACGGTCATGTCTTTCCCTTTGCAGAGGAGGATAGCTCGAGCCTGACCCTGAATGCAACTCAGCCTGGTGAAAACCCTGTGGCCCTGTCTCGAGAGCGACGAAGCCTAGGTGAGTCAGGGGTCTTGCACCTTGTGATTGTTGGGGCACTTACCTTAGCAGCCATGGGTGGGTGCAGATGCGTGTCTGAGATACAGATGTAGGGGTAGAGGTTGTAGTGAGCATGTATGTGTACACAGATGAGAATGAGGGTCTGAGCCTTGAGTAGGAGCTGGGTGTTACACCCCAGGAGGGCAGGAGAGGGAGTCTGGAGCTCTGCAAGCTGCTCTGCTTTAAATCCTGCCAGTCCTGATTGGCTCTAAAGAAGTGTCATCTCCTGCCTAGGACTGTGCTGCTGCAGTGAGAAGAATTATTCTACTGGGGCCTCCTCCACCAGGCATGGCTCTGTACAGGAGGGAGCTGGAGGGGTGAGAGAAGGAGAAAGAACATGTGTGTGTGTGAGAGCCATGCGGGGTCTTTTTCTTCCAGTAGAGGTGGCTGCAGTGGGATGGTAACAGCTGCAAAGCCCATTTCATCCCCCATTCTTCTCTTGGCCCTCCACAGATGCTCTGGCAGCAGCAGAGACAGCTGTCCTTGCAGAGTGCAAGACGCGGGAGGTAGTCTTTGAAATCTCCCGCAACATGGTGGACAGCACCAATGCCAACTTTGTGGTGTGGCCACCCTGTGTGGAGGTGCAGCGCTGCTCCGGGTGCTGCAACAACCGCAACGTGCAGTGTCGCCCCACACAGATCCGTGTCCGGCATGTCCAGGTAAGGGAGACGCCTCCCACTGCTCCCTCCTCCTGCCGCCCACTGCCATCCCAATGCCCCAAAACCAAGCCCACAGCGGGTCTCATATGCAAGGCTCACGCAGCTGCCTGCCTTGCACCCCCTCTGTTGTCACAACCTCTGCATTGGCCACGCAGCGCTGCAGACACTGGTGTGGGTCACGTCCATGCCAGCTGCTGGGAGGGCTGGTGCTGTCCAGCAGCTAGGGACTGTCACCATGCAGAGCTACAGGGCACCATCCCCAGCTGCAGCTCCATGCCACGGGCCTTTCTGTGGCTCAAGGCAGCCTTGACTGCTGCGTTAGAGCAGAAGAAGTGGGGCGCTTTCCTCACAGGAACTGTTTTTGATGCAAAGAGAGGAGGGCTTGCAGTGTCAGTCTCCTTCCCCTCACTGCTGCTGCAGCTTCTTTCTAAGACGCACTGAAGCAGCTTCTCCCTCTCAGCCAACAGTTACCTCCTGACCTGCTACAGCAGCCAGCAGACACCTGATGGCTAACCTCTTGCTCTGATCCTCCCCTCACAGCTACCAGTGATCTCCTCACAGCTTCCTCCCAGACAGCTTGTTTAAAAATAATATTCATCCCATACTAATCCTCTGCCTGAGCTGCAAGAGACTCCCCCGGGCAGGCAGCAGAGGTTGGCTGGGAGAGATTGTATTCATACAGCCCTTTTCATCAGGAAATTCCTTTCTCAGAAAAGCCAGGCTGAATGAGGGGAAAAATAGGGGGGAGCAGGAGTTGTTTTTCTGGAAAAAAACAAGTGAGAGGTCAAAAGCCAGCCTGAAAAAGTGACCTGGAAATGGTTTCTTTGAGGACAGAGGTCTCTCTATTGTTTGGCTGGAAGTGTTTGTCTAGTGAGCAGCGTGTGGTCTGAAGTGTGTGGAGTGGGCTTTCAAGGAAAGATAAACAGCCTGGCTGCTTCAGCACTGGCTGAGGGATGCTGCTGGGGGCAGTGGGTTTAGAGGAATTCCATCCCAGACACACGGCACAGTGAGTATTTATAGCTTGCGGAGCACTTCAGGGACTGCAGTCTTGTTAGATAAGCTGAGTGGGGTCAGGCCTGGCTGCTGCTGGAGTGGGAGGACCCCCTAGAAGGCTTGTGCCCTGTGGTGGGATGTGGAGCAATGTGTCTTCCCTCTGAGTCAGCACTGGTGGAGAGTCCGAGGGAATTTCCAGAGCACCGCCTTTCCCATAAAACATAGAGCTGAGGGCTTCAGCCCTGCAAGTTATTAAAGAGCTTGAGACAAATTCAGACAGGCCTCAGCAGAGCTGGTGAAGCTATGTTAGCTTGCATTGGGCCTGAGTTTTTCTCCTTTTGCCCTTCCTGTAGTTTGCTGTGGGAATTAGTTTTGGTTGCCCCCAGGTCTCCACCATCACATCTGTCAGAAACAGGCTAGCAAGTTCTGCATGCTCCATGTTCCTGACTATGATCAGCCAAGTCATCCTGCTTAAGCAGCAGCAACAGTTAGGAACAGGGGAACCAACCAGAGACATCCAAACTTGTCTAGTCTAGGTCTGCTCTGCTGGTGTGTTCAGAATTATTTGCCATACACACCATCCCCAAATTTGAACCATGCTTCATGCACTGCCTTCTGACCCTTTAGGAAGAAAGACAGTACTGAGGAGCACGGACACTGATTATTTTTACAGAGTGGGAGCTGCAGCTGTATTAATGTTTTGCTTGCTTCTCTCTTCCAACCAGGTGAACAAGATCGAATTTGTCCAGAGGAAGCCAAAATTCAAAAAAGTTGTTGTGCCTTTGGAGGACCATGTGCAGTGTCGGTGTGAGGCCGTGTTCCGACCGCCTCCCAGGAACATCCGTCCAGGGCCACGTGAACAGAGACGTAAGGATCTTGACATTAGTAGAATGGAGGGAGGCATGAGAAGAGAGGTTGAGGAGAGAGGGAAGAGCCCTCCACTGGTTTCAATCTACTTAGCTCCAGTGAATCCCACAGGCCTTCGCTGGTTTATACCAGCCGAGGGACCTTTCCCAGGATGTCTGCCTGCCTGCAAGGGGTTGAAAATGAGGGAAATGAAGGAGGGGAAGGTGAGAGGTGAGGGGAAGGGCATGGTGGGAAAAGGGAGAGGGCAGAGACTGTGGAGAACAGAGGACAAGGGACAGAAGAACAGAGAGAGGCCTTGTGGCCCTCCTGTTGCAGAGCTCTTTGTTGACAATGTGTGGAAAAAGATATTTCAACATGAGCCGGCTGCCCCTCACTGTACAGACACTCTCCCCTCTGTTTTGGCAGGCTTGTCACCATCGTTCACCACAGCCGCTGTCTCTCAGAGGCAGCGAGTACGCCGGCCGCCGGCACAGAAGAGGAAACATAAGAAGTACAAGCATGTCAACGATAAGAAAGTGCTGAAAGAAATCCTCATAGCATAGAAGTGCTGGCAGGGGAGAGAGAGCACAAGGCAGGTAACAGCAAACTACTCTTCTAGTTGGGAGAGATGTCCTCCCGGGACATGGCATCTTGGACCCTTCCCACAGCACTGGCCACTTATTCAGCTTGGGGCTACTGCAGGATCAAACCTGGGTCTGAGGAGGGGGAAGGATTAGGTTGGATGCCAACATGTGCATCCTATTTATGCCTTTAAGTTGGAAGGATCAGGCCATCCTTGCTCCAGCCATCCTTGCTCTTGGGCCCTGCCCTCTCCTTCCCTGCCTCCCTTACAGGCAGAAAACAAGCCTGACTTCTCTCTACACCTAAATCCTTTCGGGGTCCATGTAATTCATCTCTTCTGTGGAGCAACTCCCATCCTCCTTTGTCTATTGATTCTCCATTGAAAGCAGAGAATTAATGTTGCTCTGGGGATCCCTTTTCCTTTTATTTCATTAGTCAAGTTAGCAGAAAGACTGAAAAGGAGCAACACTTTCAGTTCATCATTCTCCTAGTGGGAAACCTATGTGCATAAAAAAGGTCATACCAGGGAAAAGGAGAACTGGAATCTCTAGCAAGAGATCTGGACTTCATCAGGCCAGGGTCTGATTCTTCTCTCCATGACTTGTGTAAACTTGTGTAATTCCCTCATCATCAGAAGAATTTCACTGGTACAAGGGAAAGGAGAATAAGCCCTGGTTCCCTGTGAGAGAGAAAGGTACAGAAAAGAGAGAAAGAGTAGTCAGGGCACAGATCAGGAGGAGCTGAATTTAGAGAGAGGTGACACAGCTTAACAGAGAGAGCCCTGGCCCATGGCTCAGTGGTTCCAGCTCTGCTGCAGCCCCTTGAATGAGCCCAGGCCACTCACTTCACATTCACTTCCCCTTACCTTGGGAGAGGAGATGGTGGGCTTCCATCTGTGGCATTTCAGGAGCTGGGGGCAAGGGGCACCTAGCAGTGTCTTGGGATTGGGATTCCCATGCTTAGTACTATGAGGGCTTGAATTATCCCAGGATCCTGCTGGCCAGCCTGAAGTTCCCAGGGTGGAAAATGATGCAAACCCATGCAAATCTCAGCTCTGGCTCAAACTGTTCAGGGTAAAAAATAGAGAAGGTCAAAAGTCCTTCCAGCCTTCTAATCTGGCATTTTGACACAAACATTTCCAGAGGAGAAAAGGGAATAGAAGGGTAGTTGCAGGGGGAAAGGGTTACATATTCTAATACTGTGTTTGGTTTTGTTTCACTTCCAGGTTTATTTAATATATTTGCTGTATTGCCCCCATGGGGTCGTTGGAGTGACAACTTTTCCTCTTTGTCCATCTGCCTCGACGTCTGATTCAGATGGCAATTGGTGCTTCCCTTTCCATCAGTGGACCTTCTCCCACCAAAGTCTCCTTTCTTTCATTTATTAGCATAATTTTAAAGTTTTACACACACACACAAAAAAGGACAAAGATGACCTTTATATATATATACGAGAAAAGAACAGAGTACAAATAAAACCATGAATGCCAACAGCCACTTGTGACAAGGACAGGACAATGCCTTCCCTGCTACAGAGGACAGGATGGAAAATGTGAAAAGAAAAATGGGTCCAATTTCTTCTAAGGAAAGGAGAAGACCACACAGACAGAGGCCAGAAGGGGAATATTCTCCCTTTTCCTCATGCTTCTGGTAAGGCTGGGGGGCCTGGCTGAGATCTACACTTGCACTGGACCTATATTTTGGAAACAGGCGTGTCTCAGATTGCAAGCAGCGACCAATGATGGAAAATGCACTAAGGACTTTTATCAGCCTACCTGGACAGATATATATTTTTAATGTGCGTGTGTATATTTTATTTTAAAAAAGAAAAACCAAAACCATTAAGATATACAACATCTCGGGGAACAGAACAAACAAGCGAAGAAACAAAACAAAAACAAAACAAAGAAGCCAAATGCATTCCCCCCCTCCCTTTCCCCTCCTGCTCCTGGTGCTGACTGGAAGGTGTTTGGATGGTGGGGAAGGAGCACACGGCGGCAGAATCGTCTCCACGCCCCTGGCCCCTGCCAAGAGGAGCCATCTTTGCACATGCTTGTGGAGAATTCAACTTTCCAGGCTCGGACTCAAATTATTTTTTAAATTTGCTCTGTATGTGTGCGTGTATACGTGTGTGTGTGTGTGTGTGTGTGTATATATATACATGTGCGTGCGTGTGTGTATGTGTATTTATACATGCATATATAAATATATATATATATATAAATATGTTCTTAAATGGGTTTCATTCCCCAGTGGCAGGAAGCTTAGAGGCACGTGCACGCATTGGCTTCACTAGTCTGGCAGAAAAGCACACTGTTACTGCAACGTGCCTGCGAGGCCCAGGATGGGGCAGGCAGAGGCATCATCTGATCTCTCTCTCTCTTGTTGCCCTTTTCTCTCACTCTGCACCATCCCCCAAGCACAACTTCCTTGCAGGAGGTGAAGTGGCACCACAACAAGACCAAGGACAGTTAAACTTAGAAGCATGACTTAATCTCAGTGAGCTGTCCTTGCCTGCTCTGTGGTCCTGAAAGCAGAATCATGTTATTCCCATGAGGTTTTTAACCCCTTCTTGGGTGTCCTGCATGTCATGCTTCCCCTTATCTCTCTCTGCCAACATCTCTACATCTCCCATCATTTTCCTCTCATTTTTCTTCTCAAATTCCTTCTTGGTCTCTTTGCCCATCAGATGATCCCAATCCACATAGTTTGGAAGTTGATCCATGATGTGGGCAGCTCTGTGTAGATATAGAGAAAGAAATGAGGGGAGTCTTTGCAGTTGGCAGCAGCCATCTGAGACAGAAATGAGCTCTTCTAAGTGAGGAGGACTTGGAGAACAACTGGAGAGTCAGTTGTAGAGTCCCTCCTGCGCCAGTGCCTATCTCTGAGGAGGGAGGAGGACTGTGTAGGCAAGAGCTGTTTCTGCACACCTAATACTCAGTCACCATTAGCAGAAATGTTACATATGATAGAAATTCCCAGCTTCACCTCGGATGGTCTCAGGTAGTGCCATGTTGGGTGCTGCAGTTACTCACGCAGAAAACACCTGCCAAGAGTGATTGCAGCAGTCCCCCTGCCCCTCCTGCCTCCGGCCACTTCTCCCCTCACACACACACACCTCTATTGCAGGGCAAAGCCCTGGAGGGAGACTGGGGAAGAAGCCAAAGCCACAACCTGGGAGCTGTTACAAGTTGTGGAGGAACCCAGTCCTCACCTCCTGCAAGCCCAGAGCACTTCTTGTACCACTGCCAAGGTGGCACATTTCTCCCTCCCTCCCTCCATCCCCAAGCCCTCAAGTCTTACTTTGTTTTGCTGTTCCAAAATAATTTCTTTTGGTTTGTAAAGATGTTTTATTTTAATTTTTTTGCTTTTTTTTAAATGTAAGGTTAATTTATACTCAGTACTGTATTTAAAGTTGTAAAAAAAAAAAAAAGAAAAAAAAAGAAAAAAAGGAAATCACCTCTCAAACAGCATTTTCTCTTTCTTTTGTGAGCTAAATGAGAAGCAGAGGCCAAACCAGCTCACCGCAGGGCACAGCAGGATTCCCAGGGCCTCCAGTTTCCTTTTCAGGACACTTGTTCTGAGATTGCAGAGAGAAGCAGCCAAAGCTGGGAAAGTCCTGAGAGCCCGGCCCACGGCTGGCTGGGCTGTGCTCCTCCTTCCTCACTTGGGCTGGTTTGAAATGGCTCAGGTGCTGGGGATTTTGTCTCAATGAGGTCCCCTTCTCCTTAGCGGCTCTGCTTGGACACCTGGCCAGAATTTCCCTGTGCTTTCATCCTATCTCCGGATTCCTCTGCTTTGAAGGGCTTGGGACAGTCAGCACTGTTTACAATCCCCAAAGCTGTACAAACAGTCAGCCCCTTCCCTCCTTAGTCACCTCGTCTAGACAAGAGCGATCCTTCCCTCGGTTGGAAAGGCCGCTTTGTTTCCCTTTCCTCCCAGCAAGGGAGGTATCACGTATCTGGCACTTGGATGTGAGGCTGTGAGGAGTGAAGGCAGCTGGCGCCCTGTGCCTCAGTACTGGGCCCCCTCAGCACATGCACAGCACCCATAGTCCACAGCTCAGCTATGAGGAACGTAGACCCAAGTGGGGACTTGTGCTGAAAAGGGTGAACCTGGGGACCTCAGTGAGTAGGAGTGCTCTAGGCTGTCCTTAAAGGGAAAGCCTGACACTCCCAGGTATGCACCATGCTGGACATGGTCCATTTTGGGGTGATGAGATGTTTTCCCTGATTCTCCAAAGGGAGTTGGAGTGGGGGTGAGCTCTATCTGCTCCCAAGGATGGAAAGCACAGGCAAAATCACAATGAGGATAGTAATCACATTCCCACTCCGATTTCCTTAGGATAGTCTGGTGAAAAGAGAGATTTTTGGCTTGAGACTTCTTTGGGCTTGAGGATCTGTCAGCAGGGAATTTGGGAAACAAAGGGTGCATAGAAGGGTACAAGGTACAGAAAGCATGGGTCCATCATCCTGTACCAGGAGTGGGAGGAAGGAATTGGCATCCCCAGGGTCCAGCACACCAAGGCCGCCCCTGTGCAACCCCATCTGCGAGCTCGTATCTCTGCTTTTAACACCTCGAAATTAATCAGCACTGAAAGATGCCATGGGCCCAGGTGCCTGGAGCCAACACCTCCACAGTGCCCGGCGCCACACGAGCAGCTGCTCCCTCAGGTGCAAGGTTGGATGCCGTTTGCTTTCCACACAGGTCAGCACGGGGCATGGGAAGGAGGGCACCTGTGCCACTTCTCAAGGCTGGAGCCAGAGGTTTGCATCCACCCTACAAAGCCAAGCTTAGGAAATAAATCCTGAGAGGGCTGCAGTACACTGCTGGAAAGCATCTCGGTGTGGGGATGCCTGCTTGGTGCACTCAGTGCTACAGGTGATCTCAGAGGAGCCGGGGGAGTCTTGGCAGCTCTCCTTGATTTAATTGCTCAACTGCTACTTCACCTAAAGGCCCATTCTCAGGATATGTCATTCAACAGGAAGTTCATCTTTTGATGGAGGAAATGCATCCAGCCTTCCAGGCAGTGGAGAGAGGCTTCGGCAATAGACGCTCCTGTGATAGCATGGCTCCCGAAAGCAGCAGTCGGGGGAGAGCAAGGCTATTCAGGTGCAAAGATCAAATCCCTTTGAGTTTTAAAGCCAGACTTTGGGGTTTTTACCATCAACAGTTTGCAACACTAAAGCTGTTGCATGGCTAAATCCAGTGAAAAATCAGTTTGCAAGAGTTTCCTCATCAGGCCTGGGAAAACCCTTGACTGCTTGTTTTATTGGTGTCTAGGAAAACGAACTGCTTAATCTCATCCCCAGGCCTGGCTGTGGCTCCAAGGAAGAGCCTTCTCCAGCCCAGCCACGTGAAATGAAGCCCACACAGGCATTCTCCTCCCTGTGCTCAGCTCGTGCCTCCCTTGCATAAGCTGTGCCCCCTCTGTGATGGCCACCCTGTCCTGCTGCCCAACCTGCCCACACTCTGGACGTGGCTGGAGGAGGCTCGGTGGAAACCACTGACATCCCTCTTTATCCCAGGGTGGAACAGGGATGTGTTGGAGGGTGGCCCCATCTCACTGTCCATGCACCAGGATCTGGTGGGCCCTGGGGGTGGAAAAGCCAGCTGTGCCAAGGGAAAAGCATGTACAAAGAAGGAGGAAAATACTAATCATTAAAAGCTATTTAGGAAAAAAAACCCACAACAAAAACCTGTTTCCAGAGCATGCAGCAGCTGTTCCCCACTTGCCTTCACACAGCCCATGACCAAATGGTGCTGCCCCTCCCTAAACTGTGATCTGCCCGTGACCAAGTGAACTTGTTGCAGGCTTGGGAATTTCCCATCTTAAAAGACATTGTGAGGAAGCCAGGCAGCTTCAGCTGTTTGTGGATTTCTTCACAAGGTTAAAGGAACAATAGAACCTCCCAAACATTGAGTGCTAAGAGTGTGTGAACTGAAGGGAACCCCAAATACTGGGGTGTGCCTGCAGGTAGAGCAGACACTGGGTTAATGCAAGGAATTAACAGTCACAGCAGTGGATCCATGGGGCTCTTGGCAGAAGAGCCAGGAGGTCAAAGATACCAAAATATAAAATGATGGCAGGGCTCGCCTACCATTTTCCTACCCCAGTCAGGCAGAGACCAAATGAAATTCTCTGGCATGATGGACTCCCTTGGATTCACAGCAAGGGCTGGAGTAAAGGCAGCCCCAAGGGAAGCAATCCTGGCTTTTTATTACTTTTTTATTACTATCTCAATAAAGCTGTTTGCAAGGAATTAAGCAGCAACCCAAACACAGCAGGGACCTGGGCAATGGGGAGGTTTGTGGTTTGACAGTCACAGCGCATTTCGAAATGTTTGCTGTGAATTTTTTTCTGCACATGCTGCAAAAATTCAATGGATGCTGCAGAAACGCCAGGCAAGAAGCTCGGCCATAGGTCTTGCCCCAGCAGCTTTGGAAACTCCCAAGTTCCCAAATGCCCCAACCTTTGGCCCTGGCCACTGCTGGCTGATGCAGTCGGTGAAAGCGAGCTCTGGTCCCCAAACCCAGGCCCTGCTTGGATGTTTTCTGCATGAAGAGAAATCATTTTTCAGTAGGAATCTCGGCATAGACCCAGGGAATAGCAGAGGAGATGGTGTCAGCTACTGCTGGTCTCTTCAGTGCAGAGCTGGCTGTGAGCGATGACATCAGTCTCAAAAGTAAATGAGGTCAGTGGAGGAAAAGTGCTGACAACTGAAGCAATGTGTACTCCCAGCAAGAAGCTCCCATACCTGCATTCCCGGTGGCAGCCCAGGGCACCCAGGAGGTGGCTGGTCAGAGGGCTCTGGATGTCCCGCAAGTGATCTTCTCCCTCAGTGACATTGGATGTTGCCCCATGAGGGTCTGGCACACAGACAACTCAGTTTACATGCATGGGGCCACATATGAATCACACCACACACCCATATGAGTGCTTTGGCTGCCCAAGTTAGGCAGGGAGCTGCAAGGAGGTGCTCTGCAGTGTGCATGGCAGGCAGGATGTTCTCTTTCTCCTCCAGTGGGCAGAGGCCAGGGACCCCTGAGCGCAGGCAGGGCTGCACAGGGGCAGCACAGCTCAGCCAGGTGTATGCGGATGGGTGCAGAGGAAGACCTGGGGATGTCAGCAGGCTCCATGGATATTGGCAGGTTGGGAGGGTGCTCAGGAGAGCTGACACTTGGGAATGCTGTGGTGTTAGCTGCTCCCGGAAGGGAGGGCAGAGGGGGTTGCTGTGACCCTGCACACACTGGCTTGATGTCTGTGAGAAAAATCTGTAAAGTGCCTGCATTTCTGCAGGGTACCTACAATGGGCAATGCCTGGGTATCTCTCATGATGGGGAGGGGGTGGGCTGTGCAAAGGGTCCTGTGTCTTTAAAATCTGCAGAGATATTACTTAGGTGGAAAAAATGTTTCACCATGACCATGGATATTGTTTGTATTTCAGTAATTGACTGAGGAGAGACACAGAGAGAGAGAGAGAGAGACAGAGAGAGAGAGAGAGAGAAAAAAGACCTTCCTTCTCTCTGACAGGTTCAGGAATTTTTTCCATTAATTAAGAAGAAAAACAAATGCTTGCACTGGAAGGGGGATGGGAGGAAAAGGGGGTCTCCCTGGTGTCCCATAAACCTGGTAGCCATGGACAAAACACCACAATTGCAGCATAGCCTTGCCCTGGAAAGTTTGAGGCAGTGCTGGCCAGTGGAATGAAGCAGGAGCAAACCTCTCGCTCACAGAGGACCTTGCTTTGGAGCATCCCAGGCTGGGTGAGGGGCAGCTCACTTCCAGAAGGATGCACAAGTCCAGATGAAGCTCTTGATCTGTGACAGGCAGGACCAGTGCCTGCTGCAGTAAGGTGAAAGCCAGTGATGCAGGTTTGTCCCCTGGGAGGAGTGGGGGATGCTTTACACATCAGAGCATCCCACTGGCTGCATCAGATGGTTGCAAAAGATTGAAATGGGCATTCTTTGCGTTCAGGTTTGGCTGGGATGAGGCTCTCCTGGCTCTGCTGAGGCAGGTATGAACAGCCAAGTAATTGAATAAAGCATTTTCCCAGCATGGCCACCTTCACATGCATTAAATGAGACAGAAAGGAGCAGCTGAACAGGATTTGCAGTTTTTTCCCCATGATGCGTATTTTCCCTTTTCCATGCATAGTCCCACAGGGTACGCTGTGACCTATCGTTGTACTTATTTATTTAGTCAGGTCTTGTAGATAGTTTCAAAGCTCATGGTCAGGAAGGAGCAGACAGATGTTGCTACTATGCAGGACAGAAAATCTGCTCTAGTTTCCCATTTTGAACCCAGATGCAGAGCCAGGTGCAACCCCAAACCCAGGGCTGAACCCTGTTCCCTTCCCTCCCTGCTCTAACCTAGAAAGTGGGATATTTCATTGCAAGTTGATCCTATGTGGTTTTTTTCCAAGCAAGAGGTTAGCTGGCTGGAATGGTTTGG